GGAGGAGGAGGAGGAGGAGGAGGGGGAGGAGAAGGAGGAGGAGGAGGGGGAGGAGAAGGAGACATTGACAAAGGAAAGGGAACTAAAAGAGTGAGGAGGAATCAAAGGGTTATGGGAATAAATATATCAAAATGTTATATACGTGTATTAACTCGGTCACTGGGGTTGTGACCTTGAAGACAAGAGTGGTCCCCAAACCCCGTCTTCTGCCCTCACTTCCCAGTACCATGTGCTAAGCAGCTTTGCTCCACTCTGCACTCTTGTTTTTTCGGCCTAGTCACAGGCCCCAAAGCAATGGACACAACAGATGATGGACTGAAGCCATGAGCCGTCACAAACCCTTTCTCCTTAGTTTTTTTTTTTTTTTTTTTTTTTTTTTTTTTTTTTTTTTTTTTTTTTTTTCAGGTATTCTGCCATGGTGCTGGAAAATTAACTACACAGTGGCCCACACAAGCTGGAGCCTCTGTTCTAGCACCTTGAGTTAGAGATGAAACTGGCTCTAAGGCTCATGGAACTCAGAAAGCTTTCCAGAAGAGTTGTTTCTCTAAGGCTTTCTATTTGCATGGCTCTTCCCTCTCCTGAGGTCTGCTTCTTCGCAGGTTGCCTGTTTTCATTATGGGTGGACCCCTTACCTGCACACCTCCTTCCTTGGCTCCCATGTCAGTCTTAACAGGATGACTATGAGCCCAGGATTGAGTTGCATCAGTGGAAACTGCTTTAATACACACACACACACACACACACACACACACACACACACACACACAGAGAGAGAGAGAGAGAGAGAGAGAGAGAGAGAGAGAGAGAGAGAGTCTCACAGTTACAATGCTAAGTCCATCACTGTGTTGTCCTTCTATGAGGCCAGATCACATCTTTCATTTTCTGTTCTTCTTCTTCTTGACCTCCTCTACTTCCCTTTACAGCAGCCATCTCATATTTCAGTGAGCACCAGCATCATGGTAAGGGGTTGTTATAACAGACGGCTGAGCCTGCAGTAGGTCTGAAGTAGGACATGATGATCTGCTTTGTCTTTCTTTTGTATTTTTGAGACAGGGTCTCAGGCTGGCCTCAACTTGTAGCTAAAGCTGTCCTTCATCCTGATCATCCTTTTCTTACCTCTCACGTGCTAAGATTGCAGATATGCAATCTTCCTAGGATCTGCTTTTCAGCCTTTTTGAGTCAGGTCTCCCTGTAGTCCCAACTGGCCTGGAACTTGTTATGTAGACTAGGCTGGCCTTGAACTCACAGAGATCTGCCTGTTTCTGCCTCCTGAGTGCTGGGACTAAAGGCGTGCATCACCACACCTGGCTCTAAGATCTGCTTTTCTATTAAGCTCCCAGATGATTCTGATGCTAGTCTTGAGACCACATTTTAAGAAATACTACTTTGGGGATAGGATTATGATTCACTGGTATGGTGTTTGCCTGGCATGCATGAGGCCCTAAGTTTGAACTCCAGCACTGCACACAAAAGCTCAAACATACAAAAGAACAAATTGGGCATAGTAGAAGACTCCTGTAATCTCAGGAGTCTAAAATAGGATTGTGAGTGCTAGGCCAGCCTAGGCTACGTAGCAAGTCCCTGTCACAAAAACAAGCAAAGCAACAGTACAGAAAACCTTGCTTACTTTAGAACAGCAAATTATTTGCCAAGTCTGGAAGAGAGGCTTCCTTTTGGTTTTGGTATCAGCCCATGGGACCTCACATAGACTGCGGGTTCTTATCCATATCTGCAATTCACTTCCTGCTGTGATATCAATGCTCCCTCCAGATCTTATGTTGAAATGTAATTGCCATTGCAGCAGTATTAAGAGGTGTCTTCTTTAAGAGGTGATTAGATCTGTCCCCAGGAATGGATTATACAGGGGTAGGTCTGTTATGTGGGAGTCAGTAGCTGATAAAAGAATGAGTTTGGCCTGCTTCTTACTGTCTTCCCAGATGCTGGTGCTCTGCCCTTGGACTTCCTATGCCCCAGCCCTCCAAAGAAAAACGACATGTCAATGTGTTTGGGGAAAATAAGAAGAACACATGGCTTTCTGATATGATCAAGCAAACTGTAAAGGATGCAATGCGTGTCACGAGAAAACCAAAACCAAGCTGAATTCTCAAGACCATAGAGAAATCAGAGACCCAGGCAACAGGCCTGGACTGGTAAGATCACCCTGAGCCAAGAGTGACTCTTGGACAATGCATTATCTGAAATCTTAAAGAAGAAAAATTAAAGAAGCATATTCAGTGTTTCCCTAGTCTAGAAATTAAATAGATAAAAACAAAAAAAGTCCACTGCACTGTAACCACAAAACCACTCTTTATGTGCTGTTTTCTGCATAACAAAATGAGTGATAAACGCTGTTAGTTTCCAACTCAGAAGTAATACATATTCTTTGGAAAATATATAGAAGTATAAAAACAATAACAACAAAAAATCTTAATCTTTCCATTCAAGATAATTATTATAACATTTGCTATATTTTTCTAGTATTCTTTTTTTATAACTGAAATCTTTCTCATGTATGTTAGACATCTGATTACTGCTGTGTGGAGACCTCAGATATAATGTGTTCAAACATCTTGTACCTTTATAAGATTTTCTCTATTGAATTATCTGTTGCATTTTTAGATCTGCATCAACAATCTCTTCACTCGATGTCTTGGTGCTGGTGATTCCAACTTGCCACAAATGTTTCCTGTCATTTTTCATGATGGTTTACATTTTGGTGGTCACTTAATGAACAGCTGGAAGGCTCTAGATGGAGATTTCTGCTACACTCCATGGGCCAAATCCATATTCCAACTTGAAGATCACTTCAGGTTTGTTCCTGCAATGGCCCAAGAACACCAGGCTGCTGTAGTTCTCCAGCATCACATCCTTGTAGAGGGTCCTCTGTACAATGTCTAGAAACTGGCACTCAGGACTTCTCAGGTGAAGTCCACAGCTACATCCTCATACAATATAGAACCCATTTCCTGATCCCCGGACATCTCGTCTTCACTGTGCTTCTCTCCGCAGCAGAGTCACAAGGCACAGAGACCACACAGAGAATTCCCAGCTCCACAGAGAATGTGGGGCATGGGGGAAAAATGCTCTAGTATTCTTAAAATATATTGGCATTACATAAAATATATTATTTTATAATTTTTACAAATGTCATTTCCTTAAGTAATTGTCTTCATTAGAAACAGACTTAAGTGAACATATAATATTCTGTTAAATAGATCATTGATAATTTACTTAACCGTTGAGCTTTTATTACACAATAGATTACTATCAATTTTCCACATATTAAATAAAATTGCGATGAATATTTTTGGACATCAATCTTGAGGCTATTGAGTATTTCTTCTTTATTTGGATACTGCATGTTTCTTTAGGAATAAATTTCTAGGTATCACTTTAGGGGATACAACACTTTATATTGATGGTCAATTTAACAAGCTCTAGAATCACCTGGGAGACAAATCTGTGGGCACCTCTGTGAAAGATATTCTAGATTAGATTAAGTTGAGGTAGAAGGACACACTCTGAATGTGGGCAGCATCGTTACGTGGGCCAGACTGCACAAGAGAGGAGAAATCTAGCTGCACTCATCACTTTCTGCTTCCTGCTCAGGATGCCATGTGACTAGCAACTTCCTGTTCTTGCCATCATGACTTCACCATAAGGGTCTGTATCCCATGGAACTGAGTTTGCCAAAATAAGCCCTTCTTTCCTTAAGTTGCTTTTGTCAGGTATTTTCTCACAGCAATGAGACACGTAATTGATATGATGGGCCTTACCATCTGTTTAAACAGCCCTCCAGAGGAGCTGTTCACACACGTACCTCTTTTCAACTCTACATTCAGCGACTGCCAGCCGGAAATTAACCATGGAAGTTAGCAAACTCCCAGCCTTGTTTCCCCTAGGCTTTATGATTGCCAAGCCTCTGCTAATATACATTACAGAGCTGCAGCAAACTTTATTTTTATCAGTAGTGTTTAAGAATGGTGAACACCTGTAATCCCAACTCTTGAGGATTCAAGTTCAAGGCTAGCCTGGGCTATATGACATGTTTGCCTCAAACCATAGCAAAACCATATCTCAACAAAACAAAATACCAACGATGCCTTCTTACATACACACTGGATGTGGCCATAGACCTGTAGCCCCAGCTGGCCTGGAACTCACTAATGTAGACCATGCTGGCCTTGATCTTACAGAGATCCACTGCCTCTGCCTCTCAAGTACTGGGACTAAGGGTATAGCCACCATGCCTGGCTTCATTTCTTTTTTTTACTATTTTATTTTTTATGTATATGAGTGTATTGCCTGCATGTAAGTGCACTGATGCCATCAATGCCCACGGAGGTCAGAAGAGGGCGTTGGATCCTCTGGAACTGGAGTTGCAGAGGGTTGTTAGCCGCTGTGTGGGTACTGGGAACCAAACCCCGGTCCTCTGCAAGAGCAGCTAATGCTCTTAACTGCTGAGCCTCTAGATTTTATCCCCCCACCCTCCTTTCCTCTCAGAGATCTGACACTTCCTAGGAACAGCTGAGACCCACTGCTACCTCCACCTCGATTTAAAAAAAAAAAAAAATTTAACCCTGCAGAACCTGGTCCTTAAGAAGACAATAGTGTACATACCAAAAGAGGATTGTTACCCAAGAGTCCCTCAAAGGTAAGCAACTCTGCCTTATAAATGGTGCAGCTACTTTGGAAAACAGTATGGCAGTTTTTCAAGGTTTAGAGATGGAGCTACCAGATGGTCCGGGAACTCCACTCCTTAATTTCAGCCTCATTCAACAGAAGTAGACACATGAATATAGAAAAACTGGTACATGAATGCTTGTAGCTGCATAATTAATAGCCAAAAGATGGAGGCTGACTTGTGGCGCAACTGCTGAATATACTAACCGAAATGCAGCAGTCACCCAATCTACTCCTGTGATAAAAAGAATGTTGACTTAGGCTACAGCTGAGATGAACGGGGAAAGCATTATGCTTTGGGAAAGAAGGCAGACACAAAGACCACATGTTGTATGCCTACCTTTATTTGAAATGTCCAGACTAGGTAAATTCAGAAAGTAGTTTCTAGGGAAACGGTTTGGGGAGAGGCAGTTAGGGATAGCGATGGCTAAAAGGCTAACATTTCTTTTTGAGATGATAATATCCTAAAATGCGTGACGATTACTAAAAAAACATTGAATGACATACTACTAAAGTAGTATTAAAACTGTTATTAAAAAGATAAAGTAGGGCCATGACTTATTTCATTAATTTAAAATTTGGATTGAAAGCCCCAACATTGCTATTCCTTGCTAAATCCTTGCGGCCAACAACTCGGGGGTTCATGGACAGGCACAGGTTTTCGAGTGTCCAGTATTGAAATGCAGCAGCAATGCAGTGCTTAGTCATACAGGGCTCCGTGGACTGAGTCCTAGCAGAGCCTCCGGGCGGGCCGCGTCTCCTCGGGTCACCGCGCGCCCCTCCTCCGGCCTGAGTCACGGCGTCGCCGGAGTCCCCACGCCAGGATGCGGCGGTGAGGCGGCCGGGACGCGGCGGGCCCTGGGGCGCAGCGTCGGCTGTCGGCCGCCCAGCGGCGCCGCTCGCTCGGGAAGCCAGGCCCGCGGCCGCGCGCTCAGGGCCGTCCGCCTTCCCGGCCGCTCGGGACTGCTGGGGACTGGGCGCCGGCCTGCGGCCCTCGGGCCTCCATGGCGTTCATCCGGAAGAAGCAGCGCGAACAGCAGCTACAGTTCTACTCCAAAGAGAGGTGCGCAGGGCGGGGGAGGCCGGCGGGCAGAGACCTGGGGCGCCGGCGCGCGGCCGAGCCCGGGCTGAAGGCGCTCTCCGGAAGGCCGCCGGGCGGTCTCCTCCGGGCCTCGGCAGTGAGCGGCGTTCGCCGACTGGTGGGGGCTCAGACCGCGGACGGAAGCCGCCGGGAGCTTCGGGGGAGGTCGGGGTCCCACCGCGTGAGCGCGGGAAGCCACCCGGGTTCTACCGCGTCCCCGGAAGCCGCCCGGGTCCCACCGCTTAAGCGCGGGAAGCCGCCGGTGTCCCACCGCGTCCCGGGAAGCTGCCCGGGTCCCACCGTGTGAGCGCGGGAAGCCGCCGGGGTCCCACCGCGTCTCAAGAAGCCGCCCGGCCCCACTGCGTCCCGGGAAGCCGCCTGGGTCCCACCGCTTAAGCGCGGGAAGCCGCCGGGGTCTCACCGCCGCGTCCCGGGAAGCCGCCGGGCTCCCGCCGCGAGTAGCGATGTAGGTCCCCAGTCCCCGGAGACAAGCCTTCCAAGAAGCACACTTCCGCCGCACGCCCTTCCCGGTGCCGTTTTGGGGACCCCCACACACACCTTGTGTGGTTCCGCCCAGGTGTCACCTGGGATGCGGCCTACGTCGTTTTACAAGTGCAGGTTGTGCAGTGGAAGCCGCCGTCGCTGCGCAGTGCTGCGGGACGGGCAGGTTGAGGACGGTAGTCGGGCACAGAAACCAAGTGCAGACTTCCTCCGCCCTGGTCTTGCAGTCTTCACTGCGACCCGCCTCCACCTTTCGCCCCAACAGCCATTTCTCTGTAATCTGAAATGTCTGGCGTCAACAACTTGTGAAGACTTGTTGGTGCTCCTTATTAAGTACAAGAGCATTCACGTTAAAGTTTTAAGGGTTTAGAAACACTTGAATTGCTGTCATATTCTAGGACTATGAAGAAATCCTGTGGCTTCACCGATGCACAGGAAAAATGGGGAGTTGTTTTTAGATCTACTTGTTTTTTGGATGGTTAGCTTATATAGCTCTGTAATGTCAGGGGAAACTGCTGTCCATGTAGAAGCTGTTTGTTAATATTAATTGATCGAACAATAATGTGTTTAGGCGCACAGTTCTCCACAGTAAGTTCTCACAGCCCAAACATTTATGGGTGAAAAGATGTGAGCCTCAGACCTGGTATTTGAATTCTACCTTTGACCACACTAAATCTGTAATGCTCTGTTTCATGGCTTTGCAATTTTTGTAGTGTTATCCACAGAACATCTGTTTTATAGGAACCGCTTAGACAGAGAGGTGTAAACTGGAATCAAGCAGATTCTTTTCATCAATCAGAATTCATTAAAAAAGACCAACTTTTAATTTACCATCGCTACATGTGTATTTCTTGTCTTATCCCTTGGAAACAATAAGCACAAATTAGCAAGATTCCTGCAGGTCCTTGGCTCCAGCATATCTGAGAGGACTGTTACTTTCCTTGGGAAACTTCAGGGATGGTTTCAGAGGTTTCCAGCTAGGGGCCTCCCCTCTGTGAGCTCCCAGACTGTTAGGGATTTTAGATTCTACAGGTTCTACTGCTTCCAAATAGTGACCCAAGAGAAATAAAAACTTAGCATTTATTTCTCTGGTTGATTCAGCTGCATTTAGATTAAGTTGTATTTTCTACAAAAGTAGAGCGGAGACTCTTGTATTGGTGGTTGAGATCACAGTGATGAGAAAATAAATGGCAATAAGTACATAGACCCTACATGTTTTAATGAAGTGGGTGTGACAGGTCTTGGTATATTGTATATCACGTTTAAGAAGGGACAGAGAAAGAATCCCATTAGGATTGCACAATATAAGACACCCAGTTAATTTTAACTTCAGATAAATATAAATCATTTTTAGCCTGTGTATGCCTTGTGCAGTTTTGAGGCATTTTTATACTAAAAAAATTAGTATAGACTAAGTATATTGTTTATCTGAAATTCAAGTTTAACTGAACATCCTATATTCTTATGTACTAAACCATATTCTACTTATTTACTAAACCTGTACTCAGATTTCTGATTTGAATAGTTGTACAATGGTGCCGTTTATTAGTGATGTTTATGAAAACAAGGATTAGAAAGCAAGTAGATGCTTAATCGTTCAAATAAAGTGCTCTAGTATCCATTGGATTTTGATGGCAGGAGCCACATTGATTTTACTAGTTATTGAAAAATGTTCTGCCAGGCGTGGTGATGCAAGCCTTTAATCTTGGCACTGGGGCTGCAGGGGCAGGTATGGATCTCTGTCATCTGGTCTACATAGCAAGTTCCAAGCCAGCTGGGGCTGGAGGGAGACCCTGTTTCAAAAAAAAAAAAAAAAAAAAAAAAAAAAAAGATTAGATGTTGATGAAAGCAAGTGAAAAAAATTAAAAAGACAATTCACGTATGTTCCTTGAACTAGATGGGCATGGCAGAAGTGGTCAGCGGCTTAGCAAGGTGAAGCTGAACTGCAAGTTCCCATCTAGGATTTTTCTAATTTAGGACTTTTCTGTTTTAAGATTTATGAATAGACTGTTAAATTTTTTGTCTTCACATCTAGTTGTAGAGGGGACTAGAGCTCTTTCATCTTGGCAATGTAGAAATTTAGGTAGTTGGACCGTGTTCCTTTAAAGGGAATGCTAGAGCTCTATTTCTGTGATGTCATACAATAAATTACTTAGTTGTGGTTTGTGAACTGTCATTTCAGGCTAAAACATAAGTACTTCTTCATTTCCTTTGCATGCCTACGTGTTACAGTAATTTTACAGACATTCCAGAAACTTCAGCTTTGCTTTAGACAGTCTATGGATATTATGCTAATATTAAATTTCTTTTACTCAATATTTTGTGAATCAATTGAATTTGTATTTTTTAAATAAAAAATACTTGTTGAGAAGCCCAGATGATTTGTGATTCTCCAGTTTCATCTTTCATTTCTTATGTGGATCGCTCCAGTTTTTAATACCTTTTAGTAGGATATACCAGGTATTGAAAAAGGAGATAAATTGTAGGATCAGTACTCAGTCAGAGTGTTAGGGGATCACAAGAATCTACCTTGTGGAGTCTACCTTAAAGGAAATCAGTTCATTTTTTCCGTATGAAAAGTAGTGAGAGGGAAATAAATGTTACAGATATTTTTGAATGAACTTGGAGTTTACATTGGCTTTACCCAAATGCCTTTATCATCTCAAATTAATTTATTAGCTTATTACAAAATGGCTACTATTAAGAAGGCACAGGGATCTACCGATAGTGGAATTTGAGTGTTTGCTGTATGATTTTCATCAAAAATATCTTTTAAAGTGTGATGTAAAATAGGAATGGTCACTTCAGGAATTCAGTACTTAGTTGTAGTTTCTTTTCTTTGCATTACTTTTTCCTTCCCTCTTCCCTATCCCTTCCTTTTTCCCCTTGTCTTCTATGAGGCAGAGTTGCCTGTAATCCAGGCAAGCCCTGAATTCTTGACCCCCCCCCGCCCCCGCAACCTCCCAAGTGCTGTGATTACAAGCATACATTATGCCCAGCATGATAATTAACAATGGTACAATGGTATTTTCATACTTTCCTTTTTTGTTATTGTTGCTGTATTGGGGATTGAACACAAGGCCACACGCATGGTAGGCAAGCATTCTACAACATCCTGGTGTGCTTTCTTCTGAAATACCACTGTGATTTCAACTTTTTCCACCATGTTTAGAAAATGTCCTACCATTTCCTGTTCATAGATACTTGAAGGTTGTCTTTTTGTCATTTACTCTCATTTATTCATTTTTTTGTGGTGCTGGGAATTGTACAGGGACTTACAGATGCTAGGCAAGTCGTCTATCACCAACTAGTATTCCTAATCCCGTTTTTTATTTTTAGCTTGTGCTTTTTTGAGTAGCTTGGAATTATGGTCTTTTTTATAATGTGAATCTTTTATGAACATTTAATAACATTTTAGTAACTTTTTAAAAATTCTGTCTGATATTAATATAGCTATATCAATGTTTCTTTGCAGGTTATTTTTACTATATAGAATTTTCCCATGATGTTAAGTTTTAGGTGTGCTTTTTGTGAATGGTTTATTATTGAACTTTTAAACTTTTAAAAATTACATTTTGTTTACTTCTTTTGTGCATTTGTGTACATGTGAATAGTCATGAGCATGGGGAGGTTGGTTATCTCTTTCCACCAAGAGATTAAACTAAGGTCTTCAGGCCCCAGCCATCTGGCCAGCCTCTTATCATTGAACTTTATAATAGTTCATTTTGATAATTTTTGTCTTGGCAAACCTTACAAACATGTTTGGGTTTATTTGTGCTGTTTTACTTTGTTCCTTTATTCTTTCTCCTTGTCCCTCTTCCCTTGAATTGAAGTCCTTTGCTCTCAGTTTTCCCCGCAGGGTATGAGGTTACATACGCTAATTCTGATTCAATGTTTTTCTTGGTGCTTACACTTGAAATTTTAAGATTTAATTGAACATCTGAAGCTAGCCATTGTTTTTACTACCCTCTCTAACACTGTGGAGACCTTGGGAAAACTAACTCTTGTTTTCTGTGCTGAATTATAGCCTGCTGTTGTCCAGTTAAATCTACACATTGGGCATTATGATTGGCTGATTAATGCTGTGTGGTTTTATGTGCATATTTGCCACTGTCTTTGATGAGCATTTCTTCTCTTCTGTCACATCCTCCTTATGAAAATTTCCTTTCTTAATATCCTCTTAAATTCCTCTGAGTAGTGTTTGACAATGGTAAACTGGCTTTGTTTTTAAGTGTCAAAACGTATCATTTTAAAAAAGGATTTTTTATGGGTATGGGTATTTTGCATGCACATATGTCTGAGTGCCGCGAGTGTGCCCAGTGTTCAAGGAAGCCAGAAGAGGGTGTTGGATCCCTGGTAACCAGGAACCGAACCCCGGTCCTCTGCAAGTACTCCTAAGCCCTGAACCATCTCTCCAGCCCCCCTAAACATGTTCTTGTTTTGCACTGTTCTGAATACAGTCCTGCTAGGTGTATCATTCC